ATACATTAAGAGATATTAATGACCAGTGGTTGCTATCTCCTGTTAATTTAGTTTTCATCATTGGTGATATTAATTTGTGCGTTTTTTTCTTCTTTGGGATTTGCTGTAATGAGATCATCAATTGTCTGTGTTTTTGTTGGTGTAGCCATCTTCCTTGGGTTGGAGTTTTCCTTCTAGTATTTTGTGTAGGACTGGGTTTGTGGCTACATATTCTTGAAATCTAGATTTGTCATGGAATATCTTGTTTTGTCCTTGTATGGTGATTGACAGTTTTGCTGGATATAGTAGTCTGGGCTGTCATCCGTGGTCTCTTAATGTCTTCATAATGCTTGACCATGACCTTCTGGCTTTCATTTTCTCCACTGAAAAATCAGGTGTGATTCTGATAGGTCTACCTTTATATGTTACTTGGCCTTTTTCCTTTGCAGCTCTTAATATTCTTTCTTTACTCTGTATGTTTAGTGTTTTGATTATTATGTGGCAAGAAGACTTTTTTTTTTCCAGTCTATTTGGTGTTCTGTAAGCTTCTTGTATCTTCATAGGCGTATTTTTCTTTAGGTAGGGAAAGTTTTCTTCTATGATTTGTTAAATAAATTTTCTGTGCCTTTAAGTTGAACTTCTCCTTCTTCTATACCTATTATTCTAAGATTTGGCCTTTTTATGGTGTCCCATATTTCATGGATATTTGGGGTTAAGCTTCTGTTAGATTTAATGTTTTCTTTAACTGATGAGTCCATTTCCTCTGTTGTATCTTCAGCGCTTGAGATTCTCTCTTCCATCTCTTGTATTCTGCTACATACTCCAGGCTGGGAAAAGGAATAGATACATTATCTGTGTTTTGTCAGACAGCTTTTCACCAGGAGATGAACAAAGGTAGTAGTCTCGGCTGCAGTTAGGAAGCCTGTTAGCTGTTCTTAATCGCATACAGTCAAGCTGACCAATAGGAAGGAAGTTAAGAATGCCTCACTCACTGATAAAAGGTGCCAAGCCACGAGGCCAACATAGATATAAATTATGGGTTAACTCTTCTGATTACGGCGTTTCCTCTTTAAAGGCTGTACTTTTCCCTGAGCTCCAAGCTGCACATTGCTTCACCTACTCCTTTGAGATGTAGTTCAAACTCCATATTGAATATTAAAAACCCTCTTGTGCTTTGCATCTGAATCCGGCGCCGTGGAGTAACATTTTGGGGAATAATTAACTTGGGTATACAATTTATTTTTGTTTTATTTAGTTTAGTTTTGTTTCTAATTTCATACCTCCTAGGGATGTATGCTTCGCGCAGATTTCTGGGAAATGTAGTCCCTGCGTCTGTGACGTCACAATTAGCTGTCTAGGAAATCACATTTCCTGTTTTGGTCTACCTGAGCGACTTTCCCAAAGTTGGAGGAGAGACCCGCCTGTCTGGCTTTCCTGTTGCGTCTCTGACGTGGAGGTTGGTCCAGGGTGCAGCGCAGCCTGAGGCAGTGTGCGGGGTGCGGGGCCGTCTTGGAGGGAGCGGACCTGGGCTGGGTGGGAAGGCGGGAGAAGCTGCCTTGGAGGTGCTGTGCTCAACTGGCTGGGACGCCTGATGGTTGCAGGTCAGGGCACAGTGCCCTGAGTGATGGTTTCCTTAGGACGCCACTTGCAGCCCGAGTCCGCCTTGGACTTCTGTTTGGTAGCGCGGAGTAGTACGAGATTCAGGGTTGCAAGCTAAGGATGGTCAGCTGACTGCCTGCTCCTGAGATGGAGCTGGGAGTTCACTGAGCAGCTATGGTGGGAAAGCCTGCCTCACTTCTGACCCATTCTCCCAGGGATGCTATGAGATTTTTCAGTATCTTCTCTTTATTTATTTATTTATTTATTTATTTGGTTTTTCGAGACTGTGTCTCTGTAGCTTTGGGGCCTGTTTGGAACTAGCTCTTGTAGACCAGACTGGATTCAAACTCACCGAGATCCGCCTGCCTCTGCTTCCTGAGTCCTGGATTAAAGGCTTACTGGGATTAAACGCGTGCGCCACTATCGCCCAGCTGAGATTTCTTAGTATCTTTAGAACAGTCGTGGTTTCTGATCTGTCCTTTACTTTGTAACTGGCTTAACGTATGGTCTCAAGGTTTATAAAAAGATTTTATTCTTCGATAAGCCTCTCTGCCTATGCAATAATCGGAATCAGACCAAATTAAACGGAATTAGAAAAAGCCCAGGGTTAATGTATACCAATGCTCCCTGATGGATTTCCAGCCTCACAGAGAGAGGAGACGGGGAAGACTGTTAAAGCGATGACTGCACACCTGTTAGCATTGCTCTCTGAGAAAGAATTCTCTTTGCCTCCTTTGAATAGCTCTGCCTATAGTCAACAAATGTTCTTTTTTTTTGCATATTACTCTGTGTTAGTTACTGTCATGATCCGATGTACTTTCTTCTGATTTTCTCTGTTTTTTTACAGTTTGCTTCTTTCACTTTAATCTGAGACTTCATTGTTTCTTGATTTCCATTCTGCAGTTCTTGACTGATGTGGCTACTGCGGTTACATTCCTGGGTCTTTGTCTGCAGCTGCAGCTGGGATGCCTCCCCTGTCCTAACAGCAGAGGCTGCACTGTGAGCAGATGCTTCTTACAGTGAGCCAGAACCAAACCACTCCCTGCACTGTCCTTCCCACGGGGCACTGCATAGCCAACCAGTAAAGCAGACTGCTAATGGTGGGTCCTGCTCCTCTGCAGGTCCAGTCCAGTTCCCCTTGTTGGCAGCCCTGTGTCTTTCCCCCCAGGCTTCTTTTACTGAACTCTAATGTCAGTGTTTTGCTTTAAGGAGACTCAGAAACAATGTATGACTATTAAAATCCACAAATACATCTAGACTGCTAACATACACAGCAAAACATAATCAAAAAACACAGCAAAAAAAATCATAGTCTATAATTCATGTTTCCAAAGCAGGTACTATATTTCTCCCATATTTTTCATGGTTTAATTCACTTTCTGAGTCATAAAATTGTAAAACTTGGTGGCTTGCAGCAAAAACTAGTGATTGTTTCTTGCCACTTTTGTGTGTGTAGAGCCCTGGAAGAAAGACCTACGAGTTGTTATTTCATGATGTCTGTGGTGCATGTTTTAAGCACTATGTCATGTGATTCATAGGTTGTCTACTTTGAATGGAGGGTCCCTAATTTTTAGATCCTGACCTGCAATCCCATCCTATCTTTGAGCATCATTTTGAGTTCCCACCAATCCCACCTAGTCTTCAGTTTTGTCCGTCTCTCCGAAAGCTGTTTCTGAGGGACACCAAGAGGAAATGCAAGAATTCTTATTGTACATACTCTGTCCATTTTATTGCTCTAGGCTTGCTTCTAGGACCAGCCTCCACTACTCCTGAACTGTGAATCAAGCCTCTTTTGTTTAGCTTTCTTTCTGACCATTATCCATAACAACTTGTAACCAACACTCTAAACAAAGACAAACATTCATAATCCATTTTTTTGCTTATGTAGTGTACCTTTCTAAACTGCTTCCTGCTGATTGGGGGCCCTGGTAATCTTAAGGGGCCCTAAAGAAAATTGAGATTTATGGTCAAGTCCTGACTAGAATATTCTGTGAGGCTTAGTCATCTCATTCAGCAGTTTTGAAGCTGGATGTGCCTTATGTAGGGTGCATTCCAGAAGTCTGGAAAGTAGTGTTTGAGGGGTGAACATACCATAACTGAGAATACAAAGCTTAACCATGAGATTATTACAAATACCTCTTTATTAATTAATTGCTGAAACTTCCTGTAGTGATCAAAAGGAAAAATGATGTGTGACTGTTTTTATAAATCATTTTGGGACATTACTTAAAATATATAAAAACATAAAATCTAAAATTAGGAAATTTTGACATGTGAAAATAGCATCAGCGATTCCATTTCTCAGCTACGCACATTGACACTCAGGTGTCGTGTGTGCAAACATGCTTAGGAATACCGCAACCCCCTTCTTCAGTACCTGCCAGAGAATAGATAGGAAGGGGAAAGGGCGAAAGCTTGAAGTGATGTGTATTCTATTCTTAATCTCAAGCAGTACTGTTAGTCCTGTTCTTGCCTATTTTCCCATATGATCAGATACTTAACTGGTATTTAGTCCGTGAGTTCTTCCCCTTGCTGCTCCTTCTCATGTCCCGTGTCACTGTCATCTGCATCATTACTGAACTCTGTAGAAATCCTGAGCCCACAGCACAGCCAGAGCTGCTGCATCAGACTCTGTATTTTCATTACACTTCACTGTCATGATTGTGCGCATAAACTGTTCAGAAATCCCTTCTCCTTCACGGTGACTTCCTGTGAGGAATACATATATGTGTGGTGCGTAATAGCACATGACACTAAATGCATGTTCTGTGAATGTATTCATTTTACATGTCTTTCTCAAATTGATCGTGTCTACCTGGCCTTATGGGCTTGTTTACCTTGTCTTCACTACCGATGGTCAGTGTGAGATCATGTGACCACTTCAGAAATGTCTGAGGAATATTACTACCTGTGGAAGAACATTTCTAACTCTCTTTCATCCTCGGAGAAATCCACAGACACGTGATGCCTGTCTGAGGGTTTCTATTGCCGTACTAAAGCACGTGATGAGAGTCAGCTTGGAGAAGAAAGGGTTTATTTTAGACTCCAACTCCAGGTAACAGTCCATCACTGAGAGAATTCAAGGCAGGAACCCTAGGCGTGAGGTAGAGAACAAGACACAGAAGAACACTGCTTTCTGACTCCCCGAGACTGCTTTCCTGAACCATGTATAACTGCATGCCCAGTGTAGGCACCACCCATAGTGGGCTGTGCTGTCTCATAGGAATCACTAGTTAAGAAAATGCCCCTAGACTTGGCTACAGGACAGTCTTGGTAGAAATTTTTTTCAATTATTTCTCTCTCTTTTCAAATAGGCCCTAGATAGTTTCAAGTTCTATCCAGCCTAATGCCTCTTGTCATTTAAATTATTTATGGTTTTAATTAAATTAATGTGTGGTATCATTCACTGATCTTTATTTCAGGAAATGCTCTCCTTCTGGGATGTGGCCATTGAGTTCTCTCCAGAAGAGAGGGAATGTCTGGATCCTGCTCAGTGGAATCTGTACAGGGATGTGATGTTGGAGAATTACAGCAACCTTGAATTCCTGGGTGAGCATCTCATCTATAGTGACTTCTTATTTCACCATCAACATGTAGCTTCCTCGCTTTGTATGGTTTCTCATGGGAGCATTTCAACAGTCAGTTTCATATCCTTCATTTTCAAAAATATTAAGGATATCGCTGTATTCAATATCATTTTGGAGTTAAAGTGATGACTCAGTCATTAAGACCACTGAGTGCTCTTCTAGAAAACTATTAAGTAAAAGGAAACTGCACTTTCCTTCCTGGCCGCCCAGACCCGAATAAACAGAGAGAAACTATATTAATTACAACACTGTTTGGCCTGTTAGCCCAGGCAGGAAATCCCACATCACCGGCACGCCTATGGCAGCTCACAATTGTTTGTAAACCCAAGGTCTGACATCCCTATGTTGTGTGATGCTTTGATTGTGTTCTGTTCTGACAAATAAAGCTTTGTTGGAGTCAGATGATAGAACTAGCCTCTAGCTGACCATAGAGATAGGAAGACTGTAGAGAGGAGAACAGGACGTGGAAAGCTGGGCTGAGACAAGATCTCTGCCCTTTGGATGTGGGAATGGAAGAAGTAGGTGCTTCTCTGATCTTTCAGTTTCTTAGCCGTTATCTGACTCCTGATTTTTTTATGAAAAATTAAAATAAATAATGAAAGTAGAAAGATTCCTTACACTGTTTGCTTCTCTCTGAGTTTAACCTTTCTAAAATGGATATGTCTTTCCCTCACTCTAGTGGGACTTTTAGAAATTCGGTGGCATGAGAAGTGGAGCTTACTTTCTACTTGAAGTGTTTTACAATTCAGTTTTACTGTTTTTCCCTTGAAATGAAACTCAGAATCTGGATGTTGTAGACTTCATCATGTGTTGTAGTGATCGTGTCTAAAAACACTTAAGAAACTTATTGTCTGCTATTGTCTGTGCTACAAGCCATGTGCAGGAAGTGACATGTCAATAAACATGTCAGAAGAACCTATTAGCAGCTTCTTCTCTTTATCTACAAATAGGTCTTGTTGTCTCTAAGCCACACCTGGTGACATTTCTGGAGCAAAGACCAGAGCATTCAGATGGGAAGAGACCAGCAGCAGCCACGGTGCACCCAGGTGTGTAGGAATGCGGGGTTCAGGGGCAAAGCTGAGACCCAGAGATCCAACAAAAAGTCAGGTTTTCCCATTTACTTTGACACATGATACCATGGGAATCGTTCTTTAGGTCTCTCCTTGTCTCTCTTGTCTCAGTTTTATGAGGGTTTGAGTCTCTTAAGCTTTGGATTTCCCCAATTACAAGCTGTGCTTCTACTTACAGTGACCTCCAAGGTCTTTCCTTTTGTTGATTCTCCATTGTAGTGTAAGACTCGGGGAAATAGAACTCAGAGTTGTAAAGACCGAGAGTCTTTTATTTAAAGAGGTTGAGAGCAGACTCATGACAGAAAGATCTCTACAGAAAAGAAACCATAATGCGTTAATAAAGGCAAACCCACAATTCCATCACAGAGAGCCAGGCAGAGACAGAAGGCTCAACAGTGTCAGTTCTGTTGGTCAGAACAATTGGGGGGTTGGAAGCAGTTGGATAAAACTTATACAAACCGGATGCTCTTTGGGCTGTGCATTCCCTGCTGATCTTAGGGAAGGATCAAAGCATTAGCCTATCGTATAAGGGGAATGTGTTGAACCATTAGATACACCAATTTAACAGAGGCGGTTTGTGTTTTTTCAATACTATTTCTCAATTGCTTTACCAGGTCATGACCATTAGACATAGGAAGACTAGGATAGAATAACCCGCAAGGCCTTACACTGTTGATTCAGGGATGCCCATCAAACCAGTTATGGGTGCAGTGTTGTGTGCCTCTCTTTCATAATGGTTAGTAGATTTAAGCCTTTAAGTGAGTTGTAAGACTCCATGACTTTTAAGGTTTTCTTTTTCAAGTTTATCTATTTATCATGTACAAGGGCTGGTATTTGGATACCTATGCAGTAACAACTTGTTAAAGAAATTTCAAACTTATATGTGTCAATCTGTTGTTTTTAGATACATCAGTACTGGTAATATGTTTTATGTCAGATACATTCAGGGTTGCCATCCTTGGTAGAAGTATAGGAAGCATTATGGCTAATGTTACCATGAGTTCAAATGGATGAAAATATCTTGTGATCACTTCTTCTCAAGGTCTCCTGTTGATTCTCAAACGTCCTTAGTGTATATTTTCATTAGTCTAGGTTGTTAATGGGATCAGTACTGATGAGTTTAGGCGGTGTTTTTCATCATTAGCTCGATGGATCAGCTCTGTGCTGGCATCCAATCCCAAATAACCATACTGCGACTCTATATTAATTATAAATGCTTGAATGACGGCTCAGGTTTATTACAAGTTAGGTCTTTCATTTTCATTAACCCCTGTGTCTTCTACACTCTTACACATGGCAGTGCCTGTTCTTCATGTTGTATGTTTTCCCCTTGCTTCTCAGAGTCCTGGTCACTGCTCTGACTCTGCTTTTCTAATGCCAGGATTTGGTCTGCACCAAAAATCCTGTTTAACCAGAGACATACCAATTTTTTATTAACAATAAAAGCAACACATCTTCACAGTATATAGAGTATATTCTCTCTCCCTCCTTTTTTCCTTTTAAAGTAAAGACATGTGAAAACTGCATAGGTTGCTTTAATCCAGTCGTTTTCACAGTCCCGTGAGTCTCAGCAGCTCCCATCCCTTCATTAGCAGTCAGAAAATCCACATACAACACAGTAACACACGGATTCCAGACACTCAGTGTATTTTACTTTTTGTGTGTCTTAACTTTCATATTACTTTATTCCCCCTATAAGGACTTTTGCTTTACTTTAAAATTATATATGTATTTTCTGACCATCTATAGTATTTTTCTCTTCTCCCATAAGACTTTGTACATTTTTAAACACTGTAACCCATTTAAATTTTTTTTTTAACCGTCTGGATCTGTCTTTCCTGAACATCTGTAATCTTTTCTGTTCACATGAGCAAAACCCCAATGCTGCCACCCACTGTGCTGGTGGAACTCACGCTGGTGGCTCATATCTGTAGGGAGCTGTCAGGAGATGCACATCTGTACTGCAGCCCACATGAGGGGCACAAGACTACCATTTGGCTCTGCTTTTGTGTAGTGAGAAGTTCTTTTGAGCTTCCTCATGCCTTATGTACTCCAGGGTGTGCCGGGTTGGAATGACATTTTTAGGCGGAAGTTTCTGTCCCAACAGCCCCACCAAAAAACTGAAATGGGGATAATTATTAATTGTAAATGCTCAGCCAGTAGCTTGGGCTCATTTTTAGCTGGCTCTTAACTTTTTAAATGAACCAACATTTTTACTCACCCTCTATCACATTGCAGTTCCTTCTTTAAATACAGTGTGTTCACCTTTTTCTCTGCATCTTCTGGCAACTTCTTTCACTCTGCCACTCTTCTTCCTAGCAGTCTTTCTTCCCAGAAAATTCTGACTAGCCATTTACCCATCAGTTTTAATGATGAGCGTAATACATATTCATATTGTACAAAACCATGTTCCACAGCAGAGGAGCTGGTCCAGATGTCTCTGGCAGGTAGCTCAGGATGGCTGCTCTGGGTGAGCTTTCACAGTCCACTCACCTCCTCCTCAGGCTGTGTTGCTTTTGTTACCTGATGTGATGGGTCCTCACTTGGCACATGTGACTTAGTTTGAATGAGTGCCCAGAGTTTATCCTGTTGTGCTGACGGCCCCTCTGGCAGAGCCTCAGTCATGTCTACCACTTTGCTGATGACTGCTTACAACATCTGCCATTGACATCTCACCTGTGCTTTCACCTTTGTTTAGAGGAGGACATGCAAATCCAGGGTACAGGGCATGGCCATTTGAACCACCATGACACTCCCTTAACCAGTATAAGGTATAAGGGTCCCCTCGGTATGCTCAACTACCATATTGGGAGACATGGAATACAGAGAAACTGCAGAGAGCTGGATAATGGAAGGTAGAAATGTTTTTCTCCTTCTAATATTGTGTTTAAGGCCAGCCTGTTCTAGATAGTGAGTTACAGGAGAGCAAGATCTTCATTGAAAAACCTTGTCTTCTAAAACCAACACAAGGGCTGGAGAGATGACTCAGAGGTTAAGAGCACTGACTGCTCTTCCAGAGGTCCTGAGTTCAATTCCCAGCAACCACATGGTGGCTCACAGCCATCTGTAATGAGATCTGGTGCCATCTTCTGGCCAGCAAGCATACAGACAGTCAGAACACTGTATACATAATAAATAAATAAATATTTAAAAAATGCTAAAACCCAAAACAAATAAAAAAGGAAAGAATAATTTTGTCATCTTTTTATTAACAAGTATATTGTCTCAATCAAATTTACATTATGTACAGGTGAATCTGAAGATTTTTTTGTTTTGTTTTGTTTTGTTTTAACTATGACTCGATATGTTTCAGGTATATATTTTCTGGTCTTTCAAATAAAATGTAAAATAATGTCCTGAATTCGGACTTTAAGTTTTGTCTTTATGTAGACTGTCTATGTATGCAGCATATCCTTTGTACTCCCAAAGTAAAACTATATGTGCAGGATAAAACGTTTGTATTAGACTCTGTCTCAAATTTGCAAAGTCAAAATTAACTTTTTCTTTCCCGGACTCAGCTACTTTCTCATTTTATGGGTGTCCTGCAATATAAAATCTCTATTCATTTGATAGAGTTATTCCTGTTAGTAAAATGCCCTTGCAACTTACTTAGCTATTTAACTTTGAATTATATGCCAATATGTCTATGTTCTATTTGGATGTTCCATTATTCTACTAAAAGCATAGATCATTTCTACCTACAATATTTTATCATTTATATTTCGTGCCTCTAAGTTTTGAAATGACTCTCTTTTTTCACTGCTTCAATATATATTAATAAATGTTTTCTTCTAAAGATAAGCATTGTAAGTTTGAAGAATATTTTCTAACCTTTATTCATATCTCAACATTTGCTCCACAGGAAATTCACCCGAAGATTATAGCATTTTCTCCAAGGCCGTTGATTATAACTCACAATCTAGTCAATGCCAGAGAATTCATGTAAGGGAGAAACCCTACAAGTGTGAAGAATGTGGTAAGGGCCTTAGTTCTTATAAAGCACTTTCCATACACCAGAGACTTCATACTGGACAAAAACCCTACACGTGTAAAGAATGTCACAAGGCCTTCAATACTCGCTCATCACTTTTTATACACCAGAAAAATCATACTGATGAAAAAACTTACAAGTGTGAAGAATGTGGCAGATCATTTTACTATCTTTCAGTGCTGAAGCAACATCAAAGAATTCATTCTGGAGAGAAAACCTACAAATGCGAAGAATGCGGCAGGTATTTTTGCTCATTTTCATACCTTAGACGACATCAAAGAAAACATTCTGGAGAGAAACCATACAAGTGTGAGAAGTGTGGCAAGTGTTTTTGCTTCACTTCATTCCTCCGGCAACATCAAGCAATTCACTGTGAAGACAGACACTACAATTGTATGGACTGTGGCAGAAGCTTTAACTCTCTTATATACCTTAGACGACATCAAACAATCCATTCAGCACACAGTCCTTATACCTGTGTACACTGTGGCAAATGGTTTTTCTATTCTAGGGATCTTCAGGATCATCAAACAGTTCATACTGGAGAGAAAGCCTACAAGTGTGACAAATGTCACAAAGCCTTTCATTATCACTCATCCCTTAAGACACACAAGAAAGTTCATACTGGAGAAAAACCCTACAAGTGTGAAGAGTGTGACAAAGCCTTTCATTATCACTCATCCCTTTGGAGACACAAGAAAGTTCATAGTGGAAAGAAACCCTACAAATGTAAAGAGTGTGACAGATGTTTTAACTCATCTGTATCCCTTAGACAACATCAAACAATTCATTCTGAAGAAAGTTGTTATATCTGTGTACACTGCAGCAAGAGGTTTTCAAGTTCAAGATATCTTCAGGATCACCAAAGAATTCATACTGGGGAGAAACCCTACAAGTGTGAAGAATGTCACAAATCCTTTCATTATCAGTCATCCCTTTGGAGACACAAGAAACTTCATACTGGAGAGAAACCCTTCAAGTGTTGAGAATGTCATGAAACCTTTTATCTTAACTCATCCCTTAGTAG